ACTGAATTAAAAATAAACATTTTCATTTTAAAGTTTAGTTAAAAATTTTAAATATACTACTAAAAGTTTTTTATGGTGATATTGAATTTTTTAAAAGATTTGACAAATCAAATGTATTATTATTTTAAGATTTTTAAGTATAACGCCATCTATTGATTGCATTGCTTCTAATGATATGAAACATTCTAACAGTCATGTAGAACATAACATGAATGTTAGACAAAGGCATAAGCATCCAGATATTTTGTCTAAAGTTTCTTTCTAATCATTAAACTTATGACATCTAATAGCTATATTTCCCTTACCATTACATTTGGTTAAATCTCATATCAATGCGATCCTGAAAAAGCGTTTTCTTCAAGTGTAACATAATACATTCAAGTTTAATTATGCAAGAGTTAAAAAACACTATGTATAAAATTCTTAAACAATTTTGGTTGTGATAAAAACTCTCATAAGAGTTAGTTCAATACAGGCTGATTCAAAATTCAGTACAAATAATTTAGGGACGTATTTTTGAGGTCAAAATAAGACTTTTTTCCTATAAACGTGAGTCCAAAATAAATTTTAAAATTTTTCTCCTTAAAAATTTATAAAATTTGAAAATATGGTGTGCATTTAACTCTTCATCAGTCAATATCTCGGAAATGGTTGGTCTGAGATATTTTGAGCAATTATACCTCTTTTGCTTAAAGTTGATATAGGAATAAACGCACTAATACGAAACGTCAATGTATAAGGTAGCAAAAAAGTTAAGGCCAATTAAATTCAAGCGTACCCTTATAGGTGGCGTCTTCTACAAACAGCATCAAAAGCAATGAAATTTGCCTTCCTGAAAAATCCCCATACCCTAAGGTTTATGCGTAACTACATTCAAATCTATTTGGAAATCATTTGTTTATACATGTTTATAGGAAAAATTTTTGTTCTTTTGACCTCAAAAATGCGGCACTAAATTCTTTGTACAGAATTTTAAATCACCCTATATACTGGAATGAATTCTATGAAGATTGTAGGAGATTTTGTGTAACAAAAGTACAAATATCACGTAAAATTACATTTTCCTTTCTTAGAATCAGTCTAAGGATACTTTCATTAATATTTTTAATAATCTAACACGAACAGTTTCATGTTGACAGTAAGTTGTTATTCTTCGGATTTTTGTGAAACACTTTCTCCATTACGAGTAGTATAGGATAATTTTCATTGTTACGAAACCAACAAAATTAAAATCTACCTATATTTAAGTACCTACTACTTTCTATGTAGGTACTTAATCTCCTAACTGGCTGTATAATATGCTAAATTGTACTCCTATTATAAGTTAAAATATTTTAAATAATTTATTAAGATCTAGGTATGATTTTAAATAAATTAAGCAAAACTGAGAACTAATAAGATGTAGAACATTTCAGTTATTATACTAAAATACCTAGTAAATAACTAGTAACAAATAATTATTCAAAATAAAATGTGTATATATAATTAATATTAATAATATTTACCTGATATATAGAAATGTTTCAATTATTCAAAGAAATATCCTGTATTCTTGCTTGCTTTATTGTTATTCTTTAAAGAGATAAATGAATTAAAAAGCAATTATTACAAAGATATGTTTTTATATCCACATTCTACTTGAGTTTATTTCATTAGGTAGCTTCCCTTCTCGTATAAACTAAACATATTTTAACATACATTAATTAAAAACGTCGTTGAAAGACAATTCCTTTATTTTCTATTATTAAGTTAATAGAGGGTTATTGTAGTAGAGAAATAAGAGAAAAATTTTGTATATAACTTTGTGTATTTGATTCGTCCTCGTACTTCCTAAAATATATAAATTTAACAACTAAATTTGTATATCTATTAATTATAGTAACATTCCTTAATTCTTTAATAAATAAATTATCATAAACTAGACAACTGCCATAATAATTGCTGAAGCAGAACAATGGAAATTAATAATTCCAGCAACATTAGCTTTATGAATGACCAGTTACTTTATTTTAACAGACTTAATAAATGACATTATTAATTAATTTTTGATTAATTAAATAAATCAATTTGATTAAAATAATCAAAAATACTGTGTGGCTTTTTTACATTTGTGGAATGGCGATGAGAACAATATTTCTTTGTTTAAATTGCAGGATAAATATATCTGTTTGTTTTAAAATAAATAATATGTTCTTCTGTCCGAACTAAAAGTAGTGCAGAAAGAATCTTATACTATAAGATTGACAAAGTTTGATAATTTTCAGAAGAGAAGGTGTAGAGCACCAGTCTTTAGGCAGGAGAATAACCGGGTTTAAAGCCGGGTGGATATCAATTGCACTATTTTGTGGTTATCCTACAGCCAAATGCAAGTACTGCTTCCAATTGTTTGTTTGCTAGCTATGTATCAAATAAATGTGCAGTAGAACCTTCTAATACCAACCAGCCAAGGAAATAAAATAGTTGGTCACTAAAAAGAGATGGTCGTTCATGGTTTATTTGCCAATAAAAATTATAATTGTAATTTAAATTTATAAAGAAAAAATTACTCATTCACTAAATTTACCTAAATTGGGATACCTAACATAGAAGTATGTGGAAATAAAAAATTCATACATTACATATATACATATACGTAAGTATGGATATGAACGATTAAGATTATTATTTTTTTAAATTGTTTCATCTTTTTAAATTTACTTTGATAAAATTCTGATTCACATTTCAGTAATAATATGGAATCTCAGTAGCCTTGTCAAAACTGTTTGCATTAACAAAAAATGTTTCTAAGTCTCTTAAACAATTGCAGGCTTCTAATAGGTTTGAAATATTTGACAATAAAGTACTTTCAGCTTCCTCATTTTCAGTTTCAGAATCGGAAGTTGTGTCACTTGTTTCTCTGATCTCTTTAATACAGTCGCTAATGGTTAATTCTGCACTTTCCGTTGCTATGTCACTATCAATGTAAATTGTTTCAAATTTATAAATGGGTCTTTTATGACAGGAAACAGTTGTGCGAGTGGAATATTGTCTTCATCTTCAAAATCATCCATGCTAAAATTACACATAAATCCGGCTTTAGAAAAATACTTTTTTCTTCAAGCGTATAATAATACTTATATTATATAGTGCAACACCTCCTTTAGAAGCAGTCTATTGTTTAACTAGTACAAATATTTTTCATTTTTTAACTAGTAAAAAAATGTAACAATGTGTAGGTAAGTATCCTAGCAACGAATTAAAGATTCAAGAAGCTTTGACGTTTCATTAAGTNATTCATACATTACATGTATACATATACGTAAGTATGGATATGAACGATTAAGATTATTTTTTTTAATTGTTTCATCTTTTTAAATTTATTTTGATAAAATTCTGATTCACATCTCAGTAATAACATGGAATCTCAGTAGCCTTGTCAAAACTGTTTTCATTAACAAAAAATGTTTCTGTCTCTTAAACAATTGCAGGCTTCTAATAGGTTTGAAATATTTGACAATAAAGTACTTTCAGCTTCCTCATTTTCAGTTTCAGAATCGGAAGTTGTGTCACTTGTTTCTCTGACCTCTTTAATACAGTCGCTAATGGTTAATTCTGCACTTTCCGTTGCTATGTCACTATCAATGTAAATTGTTTCAAATTTATAAATGGGTCTTTTATGACAGGAAACAGTTGTGCGAGTGGAATATTGTCTTCATCTTCAAAATCATCCATGCTGAAATTACACATAAATCCGGCTTTAGAAAAGCACTTCTTTATTGTTGTTGTGGATAGGTTTCGCTTGACTACCGATATCCATATCAAAGCATTGGTTATGCTTATGTTTTTCTCTATTTCTTCAAGAGAACAACCCTCTATACATATGTTCAAATCCTCTTTATAAAGCAGCTTCTATAAAGCATTTGATTGATATCTTGGTCTAAGGGTTGGCAGCGTGAGGTTGTATTCGGCAGAAGAAATATAAGTTAACATTCCACTAGATTGGTGCATTTAAGAGAGAAGTATTTATTGGGGATTCAAAAACAAGAGCATTCCCATTTGTAAATTCAGAGAATGCAAGATTGGTTGTTATGTGTCGCTTGACACAAGTGGTTACTTAGTTACAAACAGGTTTTACTGTGTACCGCTTTAGTCGCAATTTTTTAATAATATACTTACTTATCTATTTTTATAAAAAAAATTAAGATATTAACCAGCGTTTCAAAAAAAAAAAGGAATATTTATCTAGAAAAATCTAAACGACTCATTCGTAAAAAATTATTTTTGAGCAGAGCAGCACAGGCCAGTGACTTCAAATATAGGAAAGAGAACTTAATCTCTAGTTTTAAAGTTATTTTCTCAAGAAGAGAACTACATATCTTTTAAAATACCAAGAAGTCAACGCCGACAACGTGGCAATCACTCCGGAAATTGTTTAACCATTGACAACTGCAACGGAGGCATGCTAAAATATGTCTATGTACATTGTTTGAAGGAACTTGGTACCGAATATGTCGACAAAACTTTTAACCAAAATTGTGTATCTATTCGAAAAATGAATAGACACATAAAAATTGTAATAATATTATAATTCATGTTAGCTTTCTGACTTATACGTTGTTTATTAACTTTAGTTCAAATTTTGCAATTTAATTATGTAGTCTCGTATATTGGAATAAAATGTATCTTAGGTACTTTTTTGCTTACACACCCTATATATTTATTTAGAGTGGAATTCTAGGTTGTTGTTCTTGAGAAAAAGTAAAGTATAAGGCTGTTGTATCATTTATTTTGAAACTTATTCTGCAACAACACGAATTACTGACCATTTCAAAACACAACAGTAATATATGCACTGGTGCAATTCAGGCACACCATTTTAGAATGGCGAAGTGTAGGTCATCATAACGAAGAACTATGTAATACCTAGTAAATTTTACTTCGTAACGGTATACCTTGAGAATCGCCAGTTCCTCAATGTCTAGTGTCTATTCTTCATGTCGTCCAAAAAGTCTAATGTTTGTGGTTGTCATAAGTTTTGATTAAACAAACTGTGATAACTTTTAACGCTTGAAGTCATGTATCTCCATAGACATGATCATTGTTGGTGTGTTATTATTTCTGCCTCTGTGTACATATGTCTCAACAAACATCCAATCACAGGATATATCGGAAGGTAGGTATTAAATAATAATAATTGTGTTGTTTATATTTATATTTTAATCAGGTCTAGTTCTCAAATGTTTTATTAAGAGTTAAGGTCATGGCAAAATTTTCTTCACAGCAATAATAATGAATAAATTAAAACTATTTCATTTGATTAATTTTATTATCCATTCGACTATGCTACTGCTGCACTACAAATTAATTAGGAAAATATATGATGTACGTAATATTAGATACAAATTTATTTATATTCAAAACAGAAGTTAATGAATATGTTGAGAAAAAGAAATAGTTACAACAATATAAATTCTTTTGCAACTGCAGGTATAATTAATATTCTAATTACATTGCTTCAAATAAGTAATTATTATGCAATGATATTATACAACTTACATTATACATATTAATACATTGTGAAGAATATCATTCATTTTTCTGCTTTACCAAATTATTTTCTCATTATATTCTGTTTCAACTGTCATCACTTTGGTTTTAAATAGCGTATCTAGCCTATGACAATTTTATTGTAGAAATAATATTTTGCAGTCTTATTATAAGTTTAGAAAAAGATATTTCAGTAAATATGAACTTCAAAGTATATTTACAATAATAGAAAGGCTATCAATGTTTTTATTCGAATGCGTGTCCTGTGATTCTGCTGACTAATGATTTTAGCTATTTACAATATTGGGAACAATGTCGTAAAGTCAGAAAGTTTATTTCGTCTACTGGTAAATAAGTCAGGTATGCTTTATTTTACATACAGATTAGTAGGCCACTCTCTGCCATTATGTGAGGGGCAATGTCAGTAGTCCCAATGACATTTAAGATGGCATACATTTTGTGGATTATATAAATCTCCAAAACTGAATTTGTTTATTTCTCCCAAAACTCTAGAAAATATCTGAATTACTGAATACACTGAAAAGAGACACTATTTTTCATCACGGTAATAAGGAGCTAATTTCATTGGACTAAAAATATTATTTTCGACTCATTCAACCGTGCGATAAGCGTATTCTAAGATAACAAAATAATTCAAAAATGATTTATCTTTAAAATGAAATGAGAGATACTCTTTCTCTGAAATGTAATTAGGAATCACGTGAACATACTGAATTTACAAAATATTCAGAAATAAGTTCATAAGACAAAGGATTATTTTTTTTGCTGCTATTTGTCTCTGGAGAATGATAGATCGAAACTGGAACACCCTATATTTTATATTATCGAGGCTTCTACTGTGTGAGAGAATACAACAATTGTAGAAATTATCACGTTTTAGCACTAATATACAACAAACATACTTTCACAAAAGATTTACTAATGCATGCATCTCTAATCAATATAATAAATAAGATTAAAATGCTTTCACAACTCATAATCTCATGCTACTGTGTTCACATTTTTTTAACTTAAATATGATGTTTGTTTTTGGAAATAAGATTTTACCTACGTTGACCTTGACATCGAAACAGTGGATATTTTTCATAAATTTCAGTTTCGCCCTAAATTTAAATTATTAACAATATTTATTAGTGTGTACAGTGCAACATTTTTTGATCACGATATAATTCTACAAAAATAGGTTAATGTTTAAAATTATAGAAACGTAACGCCAGGTTATTCAATTTATTACTAATTCAGAATAGAGACTTTTTGTTTGTTAATTTTTTGTTTACTTTCAGTTGACCATTTGGTAAAACAATGGTCGCCATTAATATGGATGTCACCTGATGAGAAATATATGCCTCTAGGTGTGGAGGAATTTTTAAATTATGTCCACATCGCGGATGAAAATGGGAAAAAAATACAAAACACCTACAGCGGAATGTTTTCTAAGCACAACTCGAAAACCTACTATCTAGTCACTCATAGATCATTAGGTAAGAAGTGACATTCACTTTTTTTCTTGTTTTGTATAAATTGACTTATTTGAATATGGCAAAGGTAAAGTAGATGGACGTTCATAAGTGCAAAAATAAATACAACAAAATAAAAAGTATACACTTAAGTGACGTCTATGGATAATGCTGCCCAAAGATATCGTTTGATTAAGGTCGAAAGTTCGCCCATAACGTTCGAGACAAAGTTATAATCGATGTAGCTCACGAATTATGTTTATGGTATTGTCGATGGTTTGCATAAGGCCTTCTTCACCTGTTTTGGTAAAACTCCCATCACAGTTCTAATGTTGATTGTAATTCGCATCCCATTGGTGCTGTTTAAGAAGTCTGGTATTTTGCAAACTAGATCCATGGGACTGTTGTTCAGTTGATAATTCTCCTATCCAATACTTATTACTGGTGGTAAATTGTGATAAACCGAATACTAGTTCTGGTTTGATAAATGGAGTACGAATACTATGGCCGTACGTCAAATTACTGCGATCTGGAAGTTAGGTCAACTTCAGACGATTATTCTGCCCTATCAGAGACAGGGCATTGATACTCTAGGACCGTAGAGGTGCTGAATATCCTGAATATCTCAACTTGAACGACCGTGGCATGCTTTTCCAAATGTAAAACAGATTCACCCCTGATCGCATATCACTGATACGCGCTTCTGTGCTCTCATCTGTTTTAAACTGTAAATCAGTATCTTCATCTTGATTTTGCAATTTCTTTGAGGAATACAGATGCCCCTTTCTATTATTTTCTTGAAGACCACCTCCTTCCTTCCTTCATGATCTAAGTTTAATCACAGATATCTATGTTTAATTTCGGCTGAGCTGAGCTATCGTTTTAAAAGTGACAAGAGACTTAACGCATCTGTGAGAGCTATGCATATATCAATCGCTCGTTCAAGCTATGTAAGCCGTCGAACCGTAGGTCACTATATAACACCTGCATAAGTGAAAAAGGGTCTAACAACTGTATCTTATTCATTATTAATTGGCTCAGCGTATACAATGTTCTTCATGTATCCCTACAGAAATAAGTTCATCGACGTAGGGTCTCAGCTCTTAGAAGGCCAAAGAAAGGTAGTGTCTTGTAACGCACCCCAATTAATTTGCGTCACTCGCTAAATATCTGATGATGTCTTTTCTGTCTATGTTTATAATGTTTGAACCTAATTTATTTAATGTGGATCTAAGTTCTAATATCCGATAAACGATTACTAATCGGCTATAAAAGCTAGGGTCTAAGCACGAAGAGTCAGTAGTGTTAATCAGCTGCCTCAGCAGGAAGTAACTGTTTATCGGCTTTCTTACCAAGGTTTCCCTATCCTTGCCCCTAAAGATCTGCTGATCGGCTTTCCCTCTTGGAGCACTCTTGAGTTACCATTACCGTTCTGTCTGGGAACAAGGTGTCGGCTTTCTCGTCTCTTTCTGGAGCTCCTTGTCCCTGAAAACCCGTGGGACGGCTTTCCCTCTCGGAACACTCAGGAGCTGCCATTACCCTTCCGTCTGGGAATAGTAAGTCGGCTTTTCCGCCTGTTTTTGGAGCCTCTTTCCTGGAAGTTTCGAGAGTTCCCTTTTCCTCTCAAAGTTCCGTACTTACACTTTTCTACCAACTATCTGCCAACCTGAATTAAAAGCGGAATCGGGTTAAGCTTCTTAATTTTCCGGAGTACCTAGTACGAAGTATCTCGAATATTAGTGTAGACCGTTTACCGATTTGTTAGGTTACTAAGGTAAATAAATAAAAAGAAGTGTATATTAAAAAGTGGTTTTCTTTTCAAGATCCTTGGTTTACACTTATTTACAATACTGTGACTTGACCTGAACGGTGACTTTTGAGTTCACACATAGAGAGGTCGTCACAGTCTTCAGTCTACCAGGAAATCTGGATAAAATTGTAGTTACTTATGTTTTCCTGGACAGAACCTAATTACATATGTCTCATAATCTTGAGCAAAATTTGCCATTATTGTACTTTTGCATCGAATAATATTTAACATGTTCCTATTTACGAAGTTATAGAAGTAGACTTACTACAACAGAATGGGAAAGTAAAATAGAATAGTACCTATTGGGAATTAGAATATAAACCGAATTGATCTTTTCTGTGGAATATTATATTGCCGGATACTAATAAATCACTATGTAGAGAACTCTTTATGTTATTGATTTCATTTTTTGAAAACAGTATCATAGATATTATAGATATTTTAGTTGCCTTTACTGTACTTATGAAAATATCAGCTATTAGTTAACAGTAACACATTTTTTTTTTCAGACGAACTGAAAAGTGATAATACATCATTCTTACATGGAAAAAATCCAAAGGTGCACTCAATTCCTGTTTACGCTATAGTGAATTACTGTTCTCCTTTAAATAGTTTTCATACAACTGATAAAACTACTATAGCAAGTGATATTAATGCAATTTATAGAAGGAATAAACACAAATATTATTTCCATGTTAGCTACTGGATTTTTTTTCCGTACAATGAAGGAAAGGAAGTATGTTTTTTAGGTAAAACAGTACTCGAGACTTTAAGTTTGCGTCTATAAAATTCTAAATATTTCTGTTACAGGAAGAGTTCCAGCTCCCAGAATATTTAACACCTGTTTTGGCAATATGAAAACATTGGGCAACCACGTAGGAGATTGGGAACACATGAGCTTATCATTTGCTGGAAAAAGTGTTCCAGACAAACTCTACTTAGCTGTTCACGATGCTGGTGTTTATTATCAATACGACGAGAAGAGAAGGTATTTTAAATATGAATCGAAGATAATTCGAAGAGGAGTGGCGCAAGTGCCGAAATTTCCTCAAATTGTTCGTGCACAAGGCGGACACCCTGTATTATTTTCTGCATATGGATCTCACGGGCTATGGGGGTCACCTGGTGAACACGACTTTATTAGAGTGCCTAAGCTGACTGATAGAAACGGGTTAGTATAAAAAAAAGTGAAATAGTAACATTTAATAGAATATAAATGCGCAATTAAATTTTTTAGAATATTTACTTAATTTGTCATTTTTGGGCTAGTTACTACACCGTCAAACTTCTTGATATTTTCAGAAAGTCATTGCAACTGAAGATCTTCTAGCCGAATTTTCATTTATTGTATGTATTCGTATGTATGGCGTCATTCTCCATAATTTTAAGTCACTGGCCACTGGTAACATTTCGGTTTCTGCCAATTACAATTTCCAGGTATTTTCAAGATCTTGTCTTGATTAAAATTTCTATTTTTCTGGATTACTAAAATCTTGGTATTATTTAGGTCTATTAAGTNATCACCTATATAACCATCATGTACATCACCATCATCTACACCACCATCATCTGCATCGCCATCACCTTCATTGCCATCATCTACGCCACCATCATCTACGTCACGATCATCTACACCACCATCATCTACATCACCATCGTCTACATCGCCATCATCTACATTACCATTATTTACATCATCTACATCACCACCATCTACATTATTATCACCATTCAAATGTGGGTCGATTTTGTGAAACATTCTGTGTAGAAAGTTTTAAAATGGGATCTGGTTAGTAAATAAAAAAATTTTCATGAATAGACCACTAAATAAAGTAGAAGAAATAAATATGATATTCAGTATAAACTTCCAAATAGGTGTCTGGTTAATAAATATACAATTTTTTATTCAAAGACTTCAGTACATGGGTAAGGCAGAAGTGGGGAAAAAATAAGTTAAGTTTCACTGTCTCTTAATTTTTAAGGGAGTCATTTTTTGGAACATCCAGTATAAACTTAATAAACTAAGGCAGAAATGGGGAAAAAAATAAGTAAGTTTCAGTTTCTCCTAATTTTGAAGTGAATAATTTTTTGGAACATCCAGTATAAACTTCCAAAAAAGTGTATGGTTAGTAGATATACAATGTTTTATTCAAATACTTCAATAAGGAAAAACCTAGTCCACCTGTGTCAGTTTTATGAAACACCTAGTACATAAAATGCAAAAAACATTAGATCATTTCATTTTTCATGAAAATATTGCAATCAATAAATTTTTGAAATTTATAGAAGCCTTTGGACCGTTGGAACTTCGACGTAATTTCTGTAGACACCCTATATAAAAATCTATTTTAAAATTTATATTTTCTCTTCTTAAAATGAATATTCCATTATAATAAAAGTAAAATGCGGAAATAAATAAAGGAATATATTTCGGACCCCATTGGTGATTAGAACTGTGGAACGCAATAATAGAACGTGAATTTTATATCTGCAGTCTATGTTTGTATTTACAAAGGTTGTTGGTGCCTTTAAAACAGGGACATTTCGAATTGTTAGTGTCATCTATTTAATTTAATGGTCAATGGGTTAATTCAATATGTCAACAGAAAAAGAATAACCTGTTTATTATACATATTACACAAGGATATTTATAATATATAGGATTGCTGGATAAGCAGATATTTTCTCCACGTTAGTGGGAGCTGTGACGTCATCGCGGACCACTTCAGATACATCTCCATACTCGCATACTGTTATAAGATGTTTTATTTACTTTCTATATTCAATATGGGGTTTAAAATAATTTTGCTTAAAATATAAACTTTATATAATCTGTAAAGGGACTCCCGGTAAATAAAATTATAGACAAGTTATACAAATTTCTATTTTTTATTAGCAAAAGGCATGTACATACGAGTATTTTAAAGATCGCAATAAGTTAATATTGTAAGTTTTTAATTTAGATAAATATGAATGTTTCAAACTTCCACTAAAATATGAAAATTATTATTCTGGTTCATTTGCATACTTTCAGAAGTTATATAGAAATACTAATTTTACTGTGTTAAATCTTTTCAAATATATGTTTAAAGTTAGGTAATTATTATTTAAATGTGTACTAGTAACTTATTCCATTTATATTTTTATAAGAACTAAGCACATTAAATATTTTATAAACTATTGTAGGTATATTAAAAAAAGTGGTAATTAGTAGGTAACTGTTTTTTATTAAATAAAAATTAAACGATACAAACGATTAAAACGAGTGTTGTAAAGAAGAGTATACTCTTAATGTGCATTTATGAAAATAATATTTAATAATAATATATCCCAAACAAGTTTCATTCACAAGATAGTAACTATAATAAAGTTTCATTATAAAAATGGTGATATTTAAAACCACTGGCGGCTGATAACATTTCTGGTATACGTCTAGGGATGACAATTTTTGAAAAATGATCGATATATGACATCAGTGAACGTCACATCTTTTCGCATAACACAAAATAATATAAGTAGATAACTATTACGAATTTGTAATATGGATAGAACTTTTGCCTACTATAAATATTTTTTATATTATTCTATTCTATAGCAGAAAATACAATTAAAAAACTATACGATAAAAATTTAATGCAATTGATTTTAATGAGCGAACAGTACTGTAGTTATAATATCACAATGATTAGATATCATATTAAAATTACAATACATTAGTTGTACGTGTTGATAAATAATATGTATTAGTTTGTCTTCTTATAATATGGAACCGAGTTTATTTTCTTTCAGTGCTACTAATTTTTGCTTATTGAATATTAAATTTATTTTTTATCAACATAATTTTATTATATTACACATTAAATAAAAAGAATGAATCATAAAGGTACACATCGATCTGAAACGCTGTCGATGCATCGGTTCTTCCTCTTTTCTTTGTAACTCTTCTTCCATTTCCTTTTTTTATTATATCTTTGTGTCCGTAAACTTGTTACATCCTGTGGTTTGTTTGAAAGAAATAATGATGGAACAGCAGTTGTTTTAAGAAGTTTTCGTGGAGGCAAACCTACGAATTAATATACAGCAATTGTTTACGACAACCTGAACATTGAACAAATAATGTAATTATTACCTAATAATTCATTTCACGTTCATAATCATTTTCAACAGATAACAAAATGAATGGAATAGATACGACTGGTACTAGGACTCCAATCGCCGTCTGTCCGCTTACAACGTCTAATCCATTGTTTTCGAATAGTGTCGCAAACAAAATGTTTTTCCTTGAGAAAATTATGGTAAACTAGGTATTTCCGGATTATCCGTTTTCGTTGAAATACGGCTGTTATTAAAGCCATACATATGTAATAGAACGGCGCCACGGCATCTATTATGGAAGATTATAGGTTACCACTAAGAATTATATTTGTTTCTTACAAGTGACCATATTATTATTACTACAAATAGCGCACAAAGAATCAAAAAAGTTCTACAATTTACACACATTACTGCTAAAAGTTTAAAGAAGAAGATATAACACAAATTATTAAAAGAACGCACAAGCACCATAAGAATACACAGGCTTCTTACACATTCAGGTCCGCGATGACGTCACGGAAGAGTGGGAAAACGGCCAACATTGAAGGTATAGGGATCGAGCAATCCTATGTATTATAATATCCTTGGGCTGAAATATCGTTTTAAAAGTGACAGGAGACTTAACGCATCTGTGAGAGCTATGCGTATATCAGTCGCTCGTTTAAGCTATGTAAGCCGTCGAACAGTAGGTCACTACACAACACTTCCATATGTGAAAAAGGGTCTAACAACTGTATCTTATTCATTATTAATTGGTTCAGCGTATACAATGATCTTCATGTATCCTTACAGAAATAAATTTATCGACGTGGGGTCTCAGCTCTTAGAAGGCCAAAGAAAGGTAGTGTCTTGTAACGCACCCCAATTAATTTGCATCATTCGCTAAATATCTGATGATGTGTTTTCTGTCTATGTTTATAATGTATGAACCTAATTTTGTATTTAATGTGGATCTAAGTTCTAATACCCGATAAACGTTACTAATCGGCTATAAAAGCTAGGGTCTAAGCACGAAGAGTCAGTAGTGTTAATCAGCTTTCCTCAGCAGGAAGTAACTGCTATCGGTTTTCTTACCAAGGTTTCCTTATCCTTGCCCCTAAAGTTCTGCTGATCGGCTTTCCCTCTTGGAGCACTCTTGAGTTACCGTTACCGTTCCGTCTGGGAACAAGGCGTCCGCTTTCTCGTCTCTTTCTGGAGCTACTTGGCCCTGAAAACCCGAGGGTCGGCTTTCCCTCTTGGAGCACTCAGGAGCTGCCATTACCCTTCTTCTGGGAATAGTGAATCGGCTTTTCCGCCTGTTTTTGGAGCCTCTTTCCTGGAAGTTTCGAGGGTAGCCTTTTCCTCTCAGACTTCAGTACTTATACTTTCCTACCAACTATCCGCCAACCTGAATTAAAAGCGGAATAGGGTTAAGCTTCTTCATTTTCCGGAATACCTAGCACGAAGTATCTCGATTATTAGTGTAGACCGTTTACCGATTTGTTAGGTTAATAAGTAAAAAGAAGTGTATATTAAAAAGTGGTTTTCTTTTCAAGATCTCTGGTTTACACTTTTTTCCACTACTGTGACTTGACCTGAACGGTGACTTTTGAGTTCACACATAGAGAGGTCGTCACAGTCTTCAGTCTACCAGGAAATCTGGATAAAATTGTAGTTACTTATGTTTTCCTGGACAGAACCTAATTACATATGTCTCATAATCTTGAGCAAAATTTGCCATTATTGTACTTTTGCATCGAATAATATTTAACATGTTCCTATTTACGAAGTTATAGAAGTAGACTTACTACAACAGAATGGGAAAGTAAAATAGAATAGTACCTATTGGGAATTAGAATATAAACCGAATTGATCTTTTCTGTGGAATATTATATTGCCGGATACTAATAAATCACTATGTAGAGAACTCTTTATGTTATTGATTTCATTTTTTGAAAACAGTATCATAGATATTATAGATATTTTAGTTGCCTTTACTGTACTTATGAAAATATCAGCTATTAGTTAACAGTAACACATTTTTTTTTTCAGACGAACTGAAAAGTGATAATACATCATTCTTACATGGAAAAAATCCAAAGGTGCACTCAATTCCTGTTTACGCTATAGTGAATTACTGTTCTCCTTTAAATAGTTTTCATACAACTGATAAAACTACTATAGCAAGTGATATTAATGCAATTTATAGAAGGAATAAACACAAATATTATTTCCATGTTAGCTACTGGATTTTTTTTCCGTACAATGAAGGAAAGGAAGTATGTTTTTTAGGTAAAACAGTACTCGAGACTTTAAGTTTGCGTCTATAAAATTCTAAATATTTCTGTTACAGGAAGAGTTCCAGCTCCCAGAATATTTAACACCTGTTTTGGCAATATGAAAACATTGGGCAACCACGTAGGAGATTGGGAACACATGAGCTTATCATTTGCTGGAAAAAGTGTTCCAGACAAACTCTACTTAGCTGTTCACGATGCTGGTGTTTATTATCAATACGACGAGAAGAGAAGGTATTTTAAATATGAATCGAAGATAATTCGAAGAGGAGTGGCGCAAGTGCCGAAATTTCCTCAAATTGTTCGTGCACAAGGCGGACACCCTGTATTATTTTCTGCATATGGATCTCACGGGCTATGGGGGTCACCTGGTGAACACGACTTTATTAGAGTGCCTAAGCTGACTGATAGAAACGGGTTAGTATAAAAAAAAGTGAAATAGTAACATTTAATAGAATATAAATGCGCAATTAAATTTTTTAGAATATTTACTTAATTTGTCATTTTTGGGCTAGTTACTACACCGTCAAACTTCTTGATATTTTCAGAAAGTCATTGCAACTGAAGATCTTCTAGCCGAATTTTCATTTATTGTATGTATTCGTATGTATGGCGTCATTCTCCATAATTTTAAGTCACTGGCCACTGGTAACATTTCGGTTTCTGCCAATTACAATTTCCAGGTATTTTCAAGATCTTGTCTTGATTAAAATTTCTATTTTTCTGGATTACTAAAATCTTGGTATTATTTAGGTCTATTAAGTCTATCTAAAACATCAGAAATAAGTTTCGAAACTATGTATTTTCAACTGAAGATTTCTCTCAAAAAAGTGACCAATGTTACCAAATACTGAAACTTTGTATCTTTAATATTAATCAACTAACTCTAGCATAAAATCGAAAATGGACTGCACTATACATGACCGTATCTTTTAATTGTTTTTTTTTTAATTATATTTTGTTAGTATATCCATTTCCTCTGAAGGTTGATCATAGTTGATTATAGTTTCTCGTCCAAGTGTTTCTGATGCCTGATTATGTCTTCTTGATGCACGAATATGTCAATAAACTTTGTTTCTAACCGAATGGTGCGACTCAAATCTATCTGTGTGAGTTAGTTTCTTCAGTATACATCATTTTCTTCTAATTCCATTATGACATAGAGAATGTAAGACAATGTCATCCATAAATCATTTTATGTTGTTTATCCATCAGGCTAAACCCTGAAAACAAGGGAAAGGAGGAATAGTTTTGTATCCTGAGGGGTTATTTCTTTAATTATCTACCTTTAATTACTTATCTATTTAATTCTCGAAAGGGAGTTTATTTAGTTATCGTTATACTTTAATTAACACGTGGGAACTTAGAAATGTTGTATGTTCAGAAAATTCCTTTCAGTCACTTACCCTTTCATTGCTTATGTGGGATGTAATCCAGTGGCTGGCTATACAGGGTAGCACTGAAGTTGGAGAAACAAAGGAAACACAAAACTTCCAGGAAGGGTTTTATTAACAATAAACAAATCAAACAAACATAATAAAAACACAACGGCTCGACGACATTATTAATTAATTGATTCAATTGCGACAGCGTACCGAGATTCAGGGAATGCGCGCTCTATACAAAATTTAGAAAAACTATCAAAATTAATTAATTGGCCCGAGACTTTAAAGTTAATAATTAGCCTGCTCAATGTGAAACTTAAGAACGAACTGCCTTTTTCGAGATCTCTCCCGAATTCCACACTTCGCTTTGACACGCCCATTTCTTGGGTACAGAAGTTTCGGTTCTTATCTTATTGGCGGAGACCTGAATATCGGAACGCTTGGATAACTATAATAATAATTACCTAACTGACTTGACTTTACGTTTATAACAATAATTATATGACTTGCTAGTAACCCTAACCTTCCCCTATGGCTCCGAGTAGCAATTACGGGACGTATTAGTCGATCTCATTTAATCTACTCTTATAGCTAGGAAAAATCCGTCAAAAAAACTCAGCTGCTTAGGTATACTCTCTTTTCGAATTACTAACAATTTTTCAATATAATTTCATTCTAATGTGGAATCTTTACGCTCTTTCTCGCGATTTCGCGCGTTATTAAAAAGATGGGGTTCTACGCGGCGCCTCCCAGACGCTTAACACATGGCGATACGTTTTTAAGAAATTACTTTACCCGAAGTTTTTTGAGCTTGTTCTCATTATCGGTTTTTAAATTTATTAGTTCCTGTGACAAAAGTTCTTCAGACCACCCTCTGAATATTGGTGCCCATAATACTTAACCCTCGTCTGACCGGGGTCATTCTTAGAACTATTGACACCTGGTTTTCTTGAAAACCGTCCCACGCGGATCTGGTTTTTGTTACAGTTTCTTCATCTGAATTAAACAATGGTCACTCAAAACGTCAAGAATTTTAAAATCGCTGACGTAGCAACCAGCAAACCATTTTTTAAATTTAAATTAATTTGTAAATTAAAGTTTGAAATTAGAAAAATACAGATGGAGTTTTAATTCATTCGTTTCAGGTATGGAATTCCTTGGAAAACTTGGAATAATATTAAGACATTCCATCTAGGAAGGACTCATCTCCCTTCTTGGATGACTTTTAAAGGGAAATGGGGAAATCCAAAAAGTAACTGTTTACTTTTCAAAAAATTAGGAGTTTGTGAATACACTGATGGACCTATGGGGTTGCTACGAGCAAAACAAGATTTCTACTGTTGGCCTAAATGATAGTTATTTTGTTATGTAAATAAAAGATACGCTGAAATATCTGAACTTAAAATTATTAACTTGTGGGGTACGATCCAATAAATTTTTATTTATTTAATTTGTCCATTGGTTCATTAAATTAACTAAATTCACTAAATAATATCATTTTCTCTCTGACGTTCTGAGTATTTCACTAAGGTGGCAGCACTACGCAGGTCAATAAAATTAAAAACAGGTATCTGCGTCTACGTTAAATGTAGTTCAAGAAGCTTGCCATAGCTGGATCTCTTTATAAAAAGGTTTCTGCACCAACTATGCTATTACATAGTGATTTTCATGATATAAAATTATTATAATTAAATATTTATATGTAATCATTATTACATAAAATAGTTTAAATTCCATATTAAATCATAAGCTTTCTAATAAAGCTATTAAGCAGAACCATAAACATACATGTGTAATTGGTTGTATTAGTTTAACTACTGAACTTGCAGTTATTTGCGAAGCAACAATTTTGTATTTAGCAGATCGGAACCTATCGAAAAATGTAAAAAGTTGTTAATGCTGAACTGACGCTCCAAAGTAATGCATTGCTAATTGCTAATTCATAGATTCACTGAAAGTTAAATATAGATTTCTAAACCTAAAAAGGAAGTGAGGAAATTTTTGGTGGTCTGAAAATGAAATGAAAACATGAAACTTTCGATAGTTTTATTTTTATCATATACAGTATAAATGAAATTCAATAAAAATATTAAACATAGCGGTCATAGGTACATAAAACAATAGAACAACTACATACAACAGTAATATTTTTATTCACAGTGGCAAGAATGTCATACACATTTATACAGTTAGTTTAAGCATTCTTAAATTTAGAATCATTTTAGAATATAAAAATGGATACATGATTTATTCATTATACACGCACAGACTTCTTTGTGAAACAGAAGTAAAAATAATTACATAAATGTTTTACTTTATCACGATTTTTGCATATTAAATAGAAATGCTTTATTACTCTAATGACTATATCTTGTGAGTTCACCATTAATGTACTTGACAGTAATAGCTATTTAAACATTAAAAAAAATCGAAGTAAGTTCTGCAGTCTTTCAAAATCTCTAACAAATTGTATCCGTATGGAAAGATAACTCAGATTTTGTGACTTTGCTCGCAAGATATTGTCATTTATAGTCGCATTCCTTTGAGTCATGTTAGAGAAGAACGTTTTACAAATAAAAAAATGTGCAAGTGGAAACTGTATTCATAAAGTTCTCTCACGTCACAACGTGCAAAACAAGTAAGTTTGATTTAATCTATTTTATCTAGTCTAGTGTTTTATTATACATTGCGGTTCTGAACATAAGAAATATACATATAATTTTAACATTACAAGAAACTTTTTGCAACACATAATGAAAGTTTATAAATGAAATGTTCATATTTCGATATGGTTTTAAATTAAAAAAAGTAGACATATGTACAAATTTTAAAAACACGGTGTGTTCTATTGAAGGTGGACTGACAACGGTGTATGTAAATAGATAATTTATGGTCGCTGATATATCTACCAAACAATTGAGTTTCGATTTGTTGTAATCGCAAAAGCCCTTTTTAAAATTTAGTTGTAATTCATTAATTTGTCGTCAAAGCGAAAGATATTGTTAACCATGAAATTGTTTGCTTTATGTCATTCAACCAGTTCTCATATCCATCTCTAATGGAACATACTGTATACAGTTTGACCGTAGATAGCCATAACAGAAATTCTGTTATTGATTTGTTTATTCAAGTGACACACGTACATCACAACTGTCGTGTGGCTTGTGGTCTGTGAAAGTTATTGCTTTTTTAAAATATTTAAAAAAGGGGGTTTTCTTGTGACAACCATTTGTTGTTTAAGTGCATCCGTATAGTGACGTATAAATTCAATAAAGAATAAAGATTATTATTAAATTTTGGAAGAAAGGGGAGAGGCAAGGAGTGTAAAATAGTTGTAAAATGTCGATTTTAATTTGTAATTGAATATTTTGTCATAATTTATAAAACACATAATTTATACAAGTGTTATATATATGCCCGGTGACTCATATTGGACCTAAAACATCATTGACATCTTTTAAATAGGAAGTGATTCTTCCAGCTTCGAAAAGCTGGGCCTTATAACGAACCTAGATTTTGCAACCTTTTTCTTGGTCGAGTTTAAAAGTTAAGCAGTTTATCTAGATCGTTTATTATTTTAATAAATATCTACCTATTTTTGTTACCACGTGGAGAAAACACTTTCTCTACGGAATACCATATAAATGTGTAAGGTATTTTACAATTTTATTGATACAGAGTGTAAGGTATTTTATTGTAGATATTTATTAAAATCTTACAACGCGAAACTAAGTATTACATCATTCTTAATTCAGTTGTTGTGTAAATGCGAAAGGTGTCTTTTGAAAAACTTAACTTACAGGACATATTTATTATTTTATTTACACACAAATATATAAAAAAGTTCTGAAGGAAAACTTGTAAAAAGTAGGTTCGTTGGAAAGTCCTAAGATTTTTTTATGTTAGTTAAAAACGATTACTTTTGATTTAAAAAAAAACGTCGACGTCATAGTTTCTACATGAGTCACCTCATAATATAAAATCGTTATAAAAAACAAACAATGAAAAATAAAAACTAATATGTCCAAGCATCTTTTTCAAAATAATTACGTGGCTCTACTATATTACATTATGGATGCACTGTATTTAGAATATTGGTACACAATTATAAACAAATTTTTTAAAATAAAATTAGTTTAAACAAATATAATTTTTGATGCGTTATGTAGTACAGGTGTTACGTAAAACGTTTTATTCTAGAACAAGAAACTGATTTATTCTTCACTTTATAAATTGCTTACCACGTTACAGAGTTTCATTAATATTCATATACATATATCCTTTTTTGGAAATTAATATTTATTTTCAATATAGGTAATATAAGCAATTAGAACCACACTGTATTTAGTAAAGATCTGTAGGCACACCTAAGTATATACATGTACTGTTAAAAATAACATTATTGTGTGGATTATAGACAGCTATATTTATAGAATGCTATATAATAGCAAAATTTTGGTCATTTTTGTCGCATTTAACAATTCACTATATGTACAGTTTTCATTAGTTTTAAATGATACAAAAATACATTAAATCGTTTACCTAAAGTATATCACACAAGACACATATCTTGCAACTTTATCTTTTGCAACTTTGGCATAATGTCTAAATATTTCTTGGAGTTCAAATAATTTCGCATCAGTGTCATGCTTTTATTATGATGCAAAATCATCTGCACTACAATGTTCAGAAGCAAGTGGCAAAATTTTTGTATGTACAGGGTGATAGAATAAATAATATATGTAAATAAAAAATATTCGCATTTCGAAATATTAAACTTTAATTTTCTTATTTATTTATTTAAGTATTTAGTTAAAGCGGTAACATTACTAACTTCACCACCCTGTAAACTTTCCATTTACACTAGTATATAATTCATTATCTGTATATATCTATATAAAATACATAAATTAATATAGTAAATCTAATTATTGATATATCGCTGCTATAATTAGATAATCCGAATTTTGATAAAAAATTATAAATTTTATACAAGCGAGTTAAGTAGTAGAGCAAATAACTGTTTACAGGAGTTAATATTTCTTAAAGATATAGTACAAAGCCTTCTGTTTTCGATGCCAGTGGGAAGTAAGCAATATTTTTGTACTGGAATTAAAAGTTTGTTTTCAGGAAGTAAAAAATTCTTATTGATTAAATTCATTCAATGTAAAAATATTAGTTTTAAATATATCGGGACATAGAGCAGTACAAAAATTAACTACAACTGCATCTCTCGCTGGGATGCACAAGGGGCCCAAGGGGCCTAAATGCTGTAGCTAAGTATACTGAAATTATTGAGCTACCCTCCAAACTATACCAGAATCCAGAAGTACAGATGAGGACAAAAAGTGTTTAGAAACGAAAATTGATATAAGCAAACAATAAAAAAACACTGTTGTATTTAGGATAATATAAATAGTTTAGGCTGAAAAGTTTTTATTGTCCAAAGCTCAACACATTTAAAATGAAATGCATTAGTAAGTTTTAAGCTGTATATAATTTTGATATTGCAAACATTTTTGAGTATAGCAAAAAAATAATATTGTGCACTGTTTCCAATATTATCATACAAAGTAAAATGGCAGTTCAAATGAACATTTCATCACCACAAATTTGCAGGGGATACAGTCAACTGCGTTTTAATTTTCGCATAGAATTAAATACTTTTATAAGCTGGATAAAATTGTTAAACTCAATTGTGTTCTAAATATGTGAAGGCCCACATGGCATTTCATCATGTTGGCAAAATTAACAACTAGGAGTTTATGCATTCGACTATTATTTAGTTCTGCGTAAACCCTAGGATTAATATACTCCAAACAATTATTTTAGAATGAATATCCACTGAATGATTTAGTTCAAAAAAGCGTGCATTATAGGAGCGATATAAAAATTGAAAAACCGTCTATGAAATGAAATATTTCTTTTAAATATGGTGCTCTATATATTATACAGTGTGCTAGGGACAAAATCGTCATTTTCAAGATTTTGACATAAAGAAGTTAATAAACATACACAATTGCTTGTGCTCTAGATCTGTTATAGATACATTTGGTATTTTGCGTATATAAAAATATTTTACGTAAGTAAGTAGTTAATCACGCTCGTTCGTAAAAAAAGTTTTTTAATACCAATTCCATATGAAGTTTGAGTAAATTAATGTCTTTACTTAAACATTATTTTTACATTTGCATTATCGACACGAGATTTGTTTTGGTATATAATGCCGTTGTGCAATTATTTGTTTTCTATTCTTCGTCTCATAATAATTAATAACGTTTCTCTGTTCAACGTATTATCGTGTTTCTGTCTAGAGTGATCCATAATTCCATTACAGTCAAGTCAAAATATATAACGCAAAATACAGTTGTTAAAAAGATAATTATAATTCCGAAGCTTTGATTACTTCAAC